CTGGGGGGGCAGAGGGGATGGATGCTGGAGGGGGCAGGGGGCTCTTTGGGGTGTAGGGGTGCAGTCAGGACATGGGAGGTGCATTGGGAGCATCACAGTGGTGGGGTGCAGTCAGGACTCAGTGGGGTGCAGGGGGCCCCAGGGCACAGTGGGGATGTGCTGGGGATGGATGCTGGCAGGGTGCAGAGGGCCCGGGAGAGATGTAGGGGTGCTCAGAGACAGGGTGGGGATGGAGAGTGGGTGCTAGGGCACATAGGGTGCAGAGGGGTGGATGGAAGGAAGAAGTGTAACGAGGGGTCCCACCTCTCACAGAAGGTGTGCAGGCAGGGATTGGGCTCAGGGGGTGCAGGGGGGGCTCAGGAGGGGTTCAGGGGGTCCCATCTCTCACAGACAGCATGCAGGCAGGGATGCGGTTTGGGAGGATGCAGGGGTCTCAGGGTGGGTTCGGGAGGTCCCACCTCTCGCAGAAGGTGTGCAGGCAGGGCAGCACCTTGGGGTTGCAGTAGCGGTCGAGGCAGATGCTGCAGATCAGGAACTGCTGGTCAATCTGCCGCACCACCGGGCTGGCGGGCTCATGGCGGGCCATGGTGGCTTCTCAGCCTGGGAGGCACACCACAGTGAGGGGCAAGCACCCTGCAACACCCTATGGGGCTCAATGGCACCCCCAGCCCCAACCCACGGCACCACACAACCCCCACCCAGCCCAGCCTGAGAATGGGGGGAATTTAAATGCGTGGGAGGAATTGCATGGCACCCACACAGCCCCCCAGCCCCCTGCCCACCCCAGAACCTCACAGAGGGCCATAAAGGACACTCACCCTGTGGTGTGAGGGCTCAGCACCCTGAGGCGCCCACCGCCCTGACCCATGGCACCCACAGCACCCACCCCAAGGCATCCCACAGTCCCCGGCCCCACAGACACCTTGTGGGGCACACACGGGGACTCCTCCCGGCCCCCACCATGCCCATGACCCCCTGGCACTCAAAGCCAGCCCCACACGTGCCCTCCAGCCTCACACACTACCGTGCCCCAAGCACCCCGCCCCAATCCCTGCCCCTCGGAACCCCTCATGCCACAGTCCCCTCGCCTTCCTGCCCCACGGCAGCCGCCCCCCATCCGTGGTAACCAATCGTCTACCCCATAGGGCACCCTCAGCACCCACCCTCCTGCCCCACGGGCACACCCCAACCCCACCACCCTCCTCCTGAGCCCCGCAGCACGCACCCAATCCCCATGGGACACTCCCCACCCCTGTCCCTTGGCCCCCGTGCCCCACAGACCCTCCCAGCAGCCCCCGTCCCCCATCACCCTCTGTCCCTCGCCCCCTCCCCTCGCCCCGGCCCCGCTCACGGCGCTGCGGCGGCTCCGCGCTCCAGGCCCCGGCCCCGCCCCGGCCGCCATTGTGCGGCACCGCCCCCCCCGCGGCACCGGGACATGGCGGGGGCCCGGGGGGGCCCCCACAGCCCGCGGCTCCCCCGGGGATCTCCACCCCAGTAATCGCACCCCGCACGCCCTTTACACACCCCGCGCCCCTCCCGCGGCCCGCGCCGTCCCCGCGCCGGCCCCGCCGCACCCCCGGGCCGCACTCACCCCCCCCGCAGCCCCCTCCTCGCTGCCGCCCGCGCCGCGGGACCCCACGGCGCATCCTCGGCCCCGGCCCGGGATGCGACAGGGAGGCGGCCGGGCCGGGCGGCACCAAGCGTGCTCCGGAGGGGGAGGTGAACCATGCCGCCACCTCTCCGGTTCACGGAGCTCGCCCCCAGGACACCCCGCGCGAGGGTGCCAAGGCGTCGCTGCGGGACGCGGTGCCGCCCCCGACAGGGGGGTTCGCCGGGAGGGTCAGTGGGGAAGTGGGTAAAGTGACCCCTCAGCTTCCCCCCTCCCCCCCCCCCCCCCCCCACACACACCCCCCCCGATAGCAGTGGTCTCGCCTGGGCTGTGGCTCTGCAGCTGGGGGGGGGGGGCTCCGCGCATCCAGGGGTACCCGGCTGTTGCCACGGCAACCACATCCCGACCCCGAATTTGGGGGGATGTGACCCCAAATTGGAGGGGGAATAGGACTGGGGGATGTGGGCATACAGTGGTGGGTGGGGGCATGGCGGAGCGGTTACCCAGTATAGGGTGACGGGTGGTATAAAGTGGGAAGTAGGAGGAATATAAAAGGGAGATAAAGGGGGAATAAAGGGAAGGTCAAGGCGAACAGGTGGATATAAAGAGGGGCGAGGGGGACGCACAGGCAAAACAGGGGTAAAACAGGGGTTATAGAGGGGTGGTACAGGTAAATAAGGTACAGGCGGGGTACAAAGGGGCTTATAAAGCGGGGATAGGAGTAAAACCAGGGCCCAGTAGGCCTGTCACAGCCCCTCAGTTTAAAGGGAGCCCACACTTCTTCCCACCTGCCACAGCTCCTCCTGCACGTGGGACCCCTCATCACCATCACCCCTTCAACTCATACCCCTCCACCCCGTTCAGGAGGTGGCATCAAGCCCACCTGCTGCAGCTTCCCAGGGAATTCCAGCAGGTTCCTGGCTGCCTCCTTTGGGTGAGGCAGGTGTGGCAGCAAGCGGGCCCTCACGGACAGGGCATCCTGGCAGAGCTGGAGCTCGAGAGGTGCAGAGCGGTGCCCCTATTCCAAGCCAGCTCACTGCAGGAGTGGGTCATGCGGGGAATGATGGCCACAGGGACAGGAAGATCCTGACCCGGCCCAGCACAAGGACTCCCAGCCCTTTGGGGACCCATGAGGGAGAAGCAGATCCAGGAGGGACCCAGGGCTCTTCCATGAACCAGAAACTCCCCAAGAAATCTGTCCCCATCCACATGGGGGCCTCAGAATGGTCCCCTGACCCTCCACCCTGGCCTCAGTGTCTGGAAGGTTCTGCAGCCAGGCCAGACCTGGTTGTGCAGCCAGCACAGGCCCCCAGGAGCAGGGATAATCATGAGGGTGATAAGGGGGTGACCTGCCCTGGAACACGGGACCCACTGCCAGGACCTTGCACTCCCAGGCAGGCACCAGCAGAAGCAGCACAAGGCGCTCAGCAGGTCCCACGGGCCCCTGCAGCACAGGAGGATCAAATGGGCTCCCCTCCTCCAAGGACTGCCTCTGGCCCTCCACCCTCACCTCCAGTGGCTCCTCATCCCTGTAGAGACCCTTGGTCCTTCCCAATACCCCACACAACCTGGTGGATAGGCCTGGAGGGATACAGCAGGTGTCTGGGAACAGCTCTCATCCCCTGGGGGGCAGACACCCACCCGACTCCAGCAGCTCAGTATGGCCAGGGACTGCCCACATCCATGTCTGGGGAATGGCAGGACTCCATGGGACGGTTTCTGTGTTCCAGAGGGTCCAGGGTGGGGGAGAGAGGGTGTCCTGGTGGAAGGTTCAGGGGGTGGCTGGGAATCTCCTGGGGTTTTCTGAAGGGAGTGTCCCAGGGGCCAGTCAGTGTCCAGTGGGTTGTCCAGGGGTCTCAGGGGAACAGCAGCTAGAGTGGTAATAGTTCAAAGGGTGATGGAGGAGAGCACCGGATGGAACCAGCCCCAGTGCCTGGCCTGGGGAAGGGGAATCTATCCTGCGGGACTCCCAAGCCCTCATTGCCACCACTGGGACAGCAGTGATGGTGCCAGGAACCCCAGGCCGATCCCACCCAGCTTCTCCCTGCAGGGCACCCCATCCTGTCCCCATTTACTCCCACCTGGTCATGGTGCCATGAGGCTGGAGCAAGGGGTGGCTCCCCTCGCCAGACACAAATGAGCAGGGTCCCCCCAAGCCCCTCGCTTGCCCCCAGAACCTTCTCTCCCGTTCCCCTTCCAAGCCTGGGCCTCCCACAAGCAGCAGCCAGTGCCCATTGCACTAGGGCTCCATCACAGAGTCCTCACCGTTACAGGGCTGATGCCCCTGTCTCTCACCCGCTCAGGCAGCCCCAGCACGCAGGGTGCAGCTTGTCCCACCTGTAGCTCTGCACACACTGATCTGTACCATTTATTCGGGGTTTTTCAGAAGTCAGGGGGTTGAGGGGGTCAGACCGTCACCAGGGCGGGGCAGGGAGAAGTCGGATCCCGACATTAAATTATGGGTTAAATTAATGAACAAGAAAAAACAACAATTTTGTCTCAGGAGAAAGTGCCCAAGTGCAGGGGTGGGCAGGGGGCCCCTCGTGGGGTGGGGGTAAACCCTGGCCGGGACCCCAGCCCCCCGTGTGCAGCACATGTGCCCCAGTCCTGGGATACACATGTGCCCGCACACGGACGTGCATGGACACGCGTGCACCCCCCGTGCCTCCACTGACGTTTGGTCCCTGCTTGGAGCCCCCCTGCCCTCTCCCAGGGTTCCAGGGGACCTGTGCCTGGCCAGCGACTCCCCTATGCCACTAGCAGCAGGGCACAGGGACCCCTCACGAGCCCAGCCCAGGATGCCACAGCCCCAGGGAAGCAGGGGGGGTCTTTTGGGAGTGCAGCCCCCTGTGAATCAGGAGTGCAAGAGCGGCCACGCTGGAAACACCTGTGAATGGCCGGGGAGGGGCCAGGGTGTCCCTGGCACTGGAGGGCAGAGCAGGAGCCCCCCTGGGTGCCAGGTGCAGCAGGGAGGCCCCACAAGCTCCCCCAGCATAGGGGAGACCTGGCTGTTCTGGTGCTGCCCCCCCGAGCTCCACTGTGCCACAGGGCAGGGGTCTCCCTGGGTGGAAGCTGGCAGTGGGCCTGGGAGGGGTGCACCCTCATCCTGCCCTGGGGAAGCAGAGGGGGGACAGTGGAAGGTCCTGGCTCACCCCAAGCTGAGTGGGGTGTCTGGGGGCAGCAGCCCAGCGAGGGGGTGTCCCCAGCCCCTTAGGAGTGTCAGGGGCAGGGGGGGCTCCAGCTGTCTGCTGTGTGGGGTCTGTGCTCAGGAGCTGCTGCACCCTGCCCTGAGGAGGGGCTGTGGGATAGGGGGGCCCCAGCCCACTGTCAGCTCCCCACATCTGGTGGCCCCCCCCATGCAAGACCAGGCCTGGGCTGTGGCCCCCACGAGCCCCCGGCCACAACTGAGGTCCATGTGTGCTCCTCCATCCGGGGGGGGGGCACAGGGGGCTCACTGCTCCTCCAGCCAGGAGGGCTTCTCGGCGCCAGGGGTCTTGAGCTTGATGTTGAACTGCTTGAGGGTCTGCTCAAGCTGCTGCTGGTTCCCGGCAAAGTACGCAGAGATGGCATTGTGAAACAGCAGCAGTTGCTTGTGCATCACCTTGATCTGGGAGGGTATCATGAATGGGGGGGCCTGACCCCACCCCAGTAGCACAGAAAAGGGGTTGGAAAGCCCCCTGAGACCCCCCAAGTGCCGCTGCTCCCCCCCTCCCTCCTCCCACTGCCCATTCCACCCAATTAATGTTCTTGAGTGACAAATCTAACATGGCTGTCAAATCCCGGCA